GAGCCAGTCACTAGATTAGACATAGAGGTCAGGCAGTAGTGGCACACATCTTTAATCCCAGTACTTGAGATCTCATGCCTTTGGTTGGGAAGCACACATGCCTTTAATCCCAGGAAGTAAGATGGTAGGGCAGAGAAAGGTATATAAGGTGTGAAGAAACAGGAACTCACTCTTTTTAGGCTGAGGATTTCATAGAGGTAAGAACTAGTGGCTGGCTGTTCTGCTTCTCTGATCTTTCAGCTTTCACCCTGATACCTGGCTCTGGGCTTTTTATTAAAAGACCATCTAAGATTCAAACAACAAATCTCATTACTTGAGAGATAGAGGCAGAAGAATCAGGAGTTCAAGGTCATCTTTGGTTACACAGTTAAGTTCAAGGCAGCCTGGACTACATGAGACCTTGTCTTTAAAAATGAAACAAAATGAAATGAGTATTCATATTAAATCTAGTTCTAATTGTTATTGAATGCACAACATAAAAGAAAAATACCATTACATAAAATAAGACCCTAGAGCTGAGATTATAACTTAGTGGTACAGTATATGCTTAGTATGCTTAAGACTCTGGATTTAATTTCTGGTACGAATGAAGGAATGAATAAATGAATTCTTTGTTGTTGTTGTTGTTGTTGTTGTTGTTGTTGTTGTTTGTGGGAGCCCACAACGGACTCAGTTTCACAGTTTGAATCTGAAGTCTATTCTGAGTCAATAGAGTTCAGGCTTGTTTGCTCCAAGGCTGTGGGAAAGTCCTGATTAGCCCTCAGAGTCTCCTTAAAGGGCTGTGAGAAAGTCCTGATTAGCCCACACGAAGGAACACCCTATCTAGTTAGATGCAGGCTGCTGATGCCAGCCAGAGGTACTTTGAGATAGAAAATGAAACTGCCTGCTCCTTGACACAGGCAGGATAGATAGTGGTTGAATGCCTGTGTTGTGCATTGTTCTACCTCTGTCCTTCAAGACGGTATATAAGCTGGCTGTGAAATAAACTTGGGGCTGTCTGGCACTGACTGGTAGACCTCTTGACTCTTTTCTGTCTTCTTCATTGTCTCTTCAATCTGCACGCCTCTACCCTGCTACCCAGCTGACTGTTGGCAGGCTCCAACAGTTGTTTTGTTTTGCTTTGCTTTTCAAGATAGGGTTTCTCTGTATAGTCCTGGCTGTCTTGGAACTCACTCTGTAGACCAGGAGGGCCTCAGACTCACAGAGATCTACCTGCTTCTGCCTCCCAAGTGGTGGGATTAAAGGTGTACATCACCCCACCACCACCACCACCACCACCACCACAACATCGAATATGAATTCTTAGATGCAAGGTTTACCATGATGTTAATTTATCAAACTCAAGTATCTTCTATCACAATTTGACCAAACCATAGTTCTCAGACTGGGGAATATTCCAAAGCAAATGCATTTACGGCCATTTTCTGGCCATGGACACCTAGTTTTCTGGTCTCTTGGGTTGTCACCAATCATCGTGTTTGCTAAATAGATATTTCCCAGAAGACTACTTGAAATATCTCAAAAAAAGATGCCTTTTATCATTAATATCATCATCTCTCTAATCACGCCAGAAACAGGAGGGAAAAAGAAAAGAATTTATTTTTGCCAGTTTCCTTTTTTTCATGTTTAGGCAATTAATAAAAAGTATTTTCCAGCTGTATGTGGTAAATTTAAAAAAGATAGTGCTGCTTTCTTTTTCAGTGTTAAGAATGCATTAGCCAGGTCAAGTGAGATGGCTTAGTGCTTAAGAGTGCTTGCTACCCTTGCAGAAAACGAGGATTCAGTTCCCACACTTCCAACCGCTCATAACCACCTGTAACTCTAGTTTCAGCAGATCCAATGTCCTTTTATGGCCTCTAAGGGTACCTGTACACACACACACACACACACACACACACACACACACACACACACACACAAATAAATAAATAAATAAATAAATAAAATACATCTTTAAAATATAAAATAAATCTAAAATGATAGAAGTACCTCCAAGAACATGGAAACATACAGAAGTTACTCTGGAGTTTTCACAGAGCAAGTAGAATTTCAGAGAGAGATTGTACAGACAGGTTGCTGTTCCTCTCCTCCACTGAACACCTTATGTTTGCAGCATACACCATACACTTTCCTTCTCTTGGGTTATCTAGAATTTGTTTGTCAGGAAATGCCAACTGAAAGTTGTTTAAACAATAAAGAGACTTGTATTGACTAACAGAAAATCTAGAGGCTGGTGCTGTTTAATTCAGTGGGAAGAGTATTTAATTCAATGGTTCTACAGTATTGTCACCATGAATCACTTCTGTCATCTTCAGCCTGAATGACTTTTCTTCAGTCATAGCATGTCTACTACATCAAATATAATACACATAGCAGTTTCTCAACCAGGAACCCTTGGCATTTGGACTCAGATAATTCATCTTTATGAGAGACAATCCTGAGCATGCCAAATGTTTATCAGTATTCCTAGCCTCTCTCAAGATTGTCTCTAACCTCCTTTCCCCATACAAGACAAGCAAAAATGACTACGGTCATTACGTATTATCCCACAGGGTGGCAAGAACACCGGCAGAGAAGAACCACTGAGAAAAAGGAACAACCAGAAACACCGAAAAAGGAAACTAAACTTTCCCCTCTTTATAATCAGATTTTTCTTTGGGCTACCAGCTCACCAATAATGACATGGAGACTTATTATTCATTATAAAAGCTTGGGCCTTAGCTTAGGCTTGTCCCACTAGCTCTTATAACTTAAATTAACCCATTTATTTTAGTCTACATTGTGTTGCGTGGCTTGTTACCTCATCTCTTCGTACTGCCCATACTGCTTCCTCCTGTCTGACTGGAGACTCTACCTTCTTTTTCCCAGAGTTCTCTCTCTGCCCAGAAGTCCTATCTATACCTCCTGCCTAGCTATTGGTCATTCAGCTTTTTATTTTACCAATTACAGCAATACATCTTCACACTTGTACAAATATCACACAACACCTCTTTGTGCTTCAGTTTAAAACCAAGAAAGATGCCATCTAGTTAGCTGACTTCCTCTCTGTTTCACTGTCCAGAATGGTAACCTAACTCTGCTTAAATCAGCACTGTCCTTAGAACCGAGCAAATAAGACACTGTTCCAGCTTACTTCTCAGCAGTTGCAGGGTTGTTGGTTTTTAATTTACTTTTTTGTTTTGGAATAATTTAAATTTATGGTAAATGGCAAAGACTGCACAGAGTTTCTCAATACCTTTCACCCACCCAATTGTCCCTACTATAGTCATCTTCCATAAGTGTGGTGTTTGTCAAAAATTAAAAAATTGTTGTTGGTATATAACATTCCTGTGTCTCGAGTATAAAGCTTACTCGACCATACTGGAATGGTAGTATCACTATCATCTGGACCAAGACATGCCCATTGCACAGAATTTCCAAGGAACATTTCATCAAGGATAGGGGAGAGGCTCATGATGCTCCACCCCTTCCTGGGGAGTTATTAGCAGTTAATTGTTTCTAGGTGGAGGCAGACATTTTCCTCAGTTGTATACCAACGGATAAGTACCCCTCCCTGGGGAGTTATTAGCAGTTAATTGTTTCTAGGTGGAGGCAGACATTTTCCTCAGTTGTATACCAACGGATAAGTTGACCATACTCCAGTAATTAACCTCTTTTCCCATGTTTACGTTGGCAATCCTCATTAAAATCAGTAGATCATTACAGGGTGGTGGTGGTGGCAGTGCCATCAGCCCGGTCTACAGAGTGAGTTTCAGGACAGTCAGGGATACACAGAGAAAGCCTGTCTTGAAACAATAAGGAAAAAAATCAGTAGGTCACCAAAGTAAAATAAAATGAAATAAATCCTCTGAGAGTAGAATGGAAATTGAGTGGGGAAAATGAGCTGGCACACACCTTTAATCCCAGAACTTGGGGAGGCAGATATGTTGGAGCCCACTAGGTTTCCTAGTGACTGTACCCAGCAGGACTGCATGGGAGGTTGATTGGTACCCACAGGCCTGGGTACCAGGTGTTTGTAAAGGTCTAACTAGTAAGGGGGAGGTCTTTTGCTCCACCCCTTAGCATTGTTATAAATAGACCTTTGGAATAAAGTTCTGGGCCCGTGGAGAAGGATCCAGGCCCACCCAAGTGTATCCTGTGTTTTCTCTTTCTCCTCTACTTCTAAGTCTCTTATCCCTCATTCCTCAGGAGTTCCTGGGGTAAATAATAGTGGGGTCTGGTCTTCCACACAGAGGCAGGTGGATCTTAACATGGCGGTGTATATAGTGCTGGGAATTGTACCCAGGGCTTCTGGGGAACTAGCAAGCACTTTACCAATTGAGCTACATCCTTTGACCCACTTGTTTCTTTTCTGAGACAGGTATCAGCATGAAACAAGGACTGGCGTGAAACTCCTAATGCTCCTGTCTCAGTCACCACAGTGCAGTACTAAGTGCAACGTTACAATGATAACAGAAACATGATATTCTTCATTTTGTAAAATTAAATTATTGCATTTCTGCAGTATTTCAACTTGGGGAATGTATGTTCATCTGTGTGGCTAGATGTGTGTTTATATGCTCATAGATGTTTTTGGGTGTACAAATAGACGGCTCTGACATTAAAAGATTGTTACTCTAAACAGTCTACACTTACCACACTAAAACCCACTAACTCATTAGGCTTCAAGCCAGCAGGAACCTCACTAAGAGCACTTAGATCATTATTTTCATTTGTTTCTCCTTTCAATCCTAGGAAAAAGAGCAGTCATATATGTCATGCTGTTTTGCTTTTTTGTTTTGTTTTGTTTTGTTTTTTTACAATGCCAGAGTGCTATGTTTGAAGGCCTACCAGGTGGATTAACAAGATCCCTAAACGGACCCAGATTTAAAACAGCACAGGACCCGAAACCCAGGTAGTGACTGCTCTAGGGCGGAACTCGCCGGAAGTCTCGCGGGAGAGCGTCTCAGCGGCGCGAGCCTCCGCCCCTGTTTACTCTAGTTCCGGTCTCCGGCCTCAGCACGCCCACCGGCAGGCTGCTGTTTGCTCGCTTCCTCCGCTCCCAGGGCGGGCCGGAACTTTTGTCAGCAGGAACCGGTGTACGCGGTTCAGTGTTGTCGACCGGCGTCTAGGCGACGAGGCTGCTGTTCTCTTCCTCCGGCTGCGGTCGCTGTGGGGTGCAGCCCAGCCGGTCAGGTTGAGGAGCGCGGCCGCCTGGACTGGGTCTATGGTCGCTCCGTGGGCCGCTCTGCTGGCTGGTGCTTTTGTATCAGGGCAAGCAGTATTCCATGGCAGGGAACTTCTGGCAGAGCTCCCACTAGTGAGTGAGCTTCCATTTTCTCGCGCGGGACCGGTTCTGGGGCACCGGGAGGACCGGGCCTGCGACTCCTTCCATCCTGGCTGCTCTTGGGGTGTGGGTGAGCCTTCCCCCGAGAAGCTGGGGCTCCGAAGCCGAATGCGCTTGTTCGGCGGAATTTGGGGGACTGTGGAGGGGGCGGGGATGAGCTTGAAGGATGGATAAGAGGACCGATCTCGAAGGAAGACTGAGGCAGTTTCATTTTGAATTTTGGGGTTAGTCAAGTGGGATGATATGGGCACCAGGCACATCGTTCCCGACAGGTATGGCTTGCTTTTGCTAGGTTTTGTTGAGAGCAGCGACGTTATAATCTCTTGTCATTCGCCTTACATGTAGATTTAATATTTATTTACTCAGAGGAGAGGAGTAAGTCCTGCTTACTTGGCTGCTTCCTGGCTCTCCTTTATGCCAAATTGTCGATCCGTTTGTTGTGCCCCCCCCCCCCCCCGGGTTTCTGTGCAGTCCTGGAACTCGCTCTGTAGACCAGGCTGGCCTGGAACTCTTAGATCCGCCTGCCTCTGCCTCCCGAGTGCTGGGATTAAAGGCGTGTGCCACTATTTCCCGACTTCTAGGTTGATGTTTATGCCCCTAGAACATAGCGTAGGTGCTCTCAAAATGTATCCATTTTCATTCATTAGCCAGTGTCTTTTATTTTGCTTTAAAAGTGTGTCTTTTCTAGATTTTATTTCTTCCTTTACCCATCTAAATGAATGAATTTGGGTGTCTGTCAGTGACCATGGAAGGGCTAAATATCTGAAATATTTATCTTTACATGCATTGGTTAAACATGCAGGAAGTTGTGTGATTGGGCTAAGCTTTGAGCAGGTTGTCAACAGAATACATCAAAACTGAACGGGACTTTATACAAGACATCTTTGTTAAAGTAAATTTTAGAGTGAAGAGAATAACAAAATTTTAGTTCTGTGAATTGGATTGGCTCTTTTTCCTCTTTGCCCAAGAACGGGGAAGAAGAAGAAAAGAGTGGGTTTGGAAACCTTTTTCTGGAAAGCTTATTTTCCCTTGTACAAAGTGATGCTAGGGAGATGAAATGCTCATGAAGCATCACTATGGGACATACTATTCTTTGTTGTTTTCACTCACTGAGATGTTTTAGTTAAATTTGAAATACAGAAGCAGGAGACCCAGAAAGACAGGTTAAATTTGAGCCTATAAAGGTCTTACTATAAAGGGTCTGAGAACCTGTGTACTGGTGCTTTGTAAAAATGACAGTATGAGGGAAATCCAGAAAGAGGTAGAGAGTCTTTGAAAAACATCAGGAGATTCTTTTTGTTTTGTTGTTGTTGTTTTTCAAGCAGGGTTTCTCTGTGTAACAGCTCTTGCTGTCCTGGAACTTGCTTTGTAGATTAGGCTGGCCTTGAATTCATGGAGATCTGCAAGCCTCTGCCTCCAGAGTGCTGGGATTAAAGCTGATTCTTGACCCTCAAATTCTGTTTTTTCCTCAAAGGATCTTGCTGAGACTGTAGGTGGGTTGCTGAAAAGCTAGAGAAATCAGATGAATAACTTGCCTGAAAGTTTAAAATGGCATCCATAGCATCCTTTTTTATCGACCAGAACAAATGGGAGTCAGGCATAACAGACTGACACAGAGTTATTAAAGATAGTCAGCAAAGCAGTCACAAGCAGCCTTAAAAACCAAAGGGATTAAATTTTTTTTTTTTTTTTTACCAACAGGACTGTGAAACTTTAGGGGTGATGGGGGAAATGTTGGTTGAAAAAAAATACTTCATTAGAAAAATGTTTAATTTCCTCTGAGGCGGAATTTACTTGAAACAGATGAGCACGTGTTGAACAACTTAAGCATTTCATTGTTGAGTATAATTTACTCAATATTTTAGAGACCTGTTTGAAAAATTAATGCTGAGACTGTGTGTGTGTGTGTGCGCGTGCCTGTGTGTGTGCGTGTGCGTGCGTGTTTTTCAGAGGTAGGCTAGTGCTCTGTCTACCTCTAAGCTACGTTCCTAGCCAGACACTGTCTTTTAAGGATATACTTCCAAAAAAGGAAAAAAGAAGCTGGGTGTAGTGCTGTGTGCCTTGAATCCTAACAGTTGGGGGTGGGGGGATCGTTGGCAGGTGGGGGGGGGGGTGGGGGGGTGTCGTTGGCAGGTGGATCTCTGAATTTGAAGCCAGCCTGGTCTACAGAGTGAGTTCCAGGACAGTTATGGCTACGCAGAGAAACCCTGTCTCAGAGGGGAAAAAAACATGTACTTAGAATATGATCAGCTTGTTAAATCTTAGTGTTTTAGGCGCTTTTGCTTGTTGGCTTTCTATACCATGTTTTAACATCTTTCCTTTTTCTAGTTTGCAGTGGATTTTGGATAAACAAGATCTGTTGAAAGAGCGCCAGAAGGACTTAAAGTTTCTCTCAGAAGAAGAGTATTGGAAGTTACAAATATTTTTTACAAATGGTAAACTCTTAAATTGGTTGAAATAGTATAGTATAGCTGCTCACCTTTGAGACTCTTTTGTGTGGTGATTTTCAGTGGATTATTACAGTCTGTAATTAATGCTTTTATTTGTACATTTATCGTTTAGTGTTCTGGGTAACACTTTTTGCACCTTACGTGTCAGAAGCACAGTGTTAGCTCATCTCCTCAGGCATTTCTCGGGCAGCCCCTTTTAAGGCTGGCTAAAACAAGTAAAAATAAATGATTCTTTAAATTGATATCCTATAGTTGTCATTCTTACCTTATAACTTTACGTTAGCGAAAGGGGGTTTAGTCAAGAAACCTTCACTGTGCTGGGATGGCTTTGTTGCCTGTTATTTTTTTTTAAATAGATTTTTTTTATTGATTTTTTTTTTATTTATTTATTTTTTTTTTTGGTTTTTTGAGACAGAGTTTCTCTGTGTAGCTTTGCGCCTTTCCTGGAACTCACTTGGTAGTCCAGGCTGGCCTCGAACTCACAGAGATCCACCTGGCTCTGCCTCCCGAGTGCTGGGATTAAAGGCGTGAGCCACCACCGCCCGGCTATTGATTTTTTTTTTAAATTAAGAAATTACTCACTCCACATGCTATCCACAGACCCCCCCCCCACCCCCCCAGTCCTCTTTCCCAAGCTACCCCGCATCCCCACATCCCCCATTTATTTGTTTTATGTGTATGGGTATTTTGCCTGCTTGTGTATCTGTACACTATATGTTGTGCCTGGTGCTGAGGAGGTTTGGCTCTCTAGGGACTGGAGTTACAAATGGTTGTGAGCCACCATGTGGATGCTAGGAATACAACTCAGGTCTTCTGCAAGAGGAGGTGGTGATCTCAACTCCTGAGCCATCTCTCAGCCCTGCCACCATGATCTTTAATGCTGTCACTCTCTGCAAATCTACCTTTCTCTTGTGTAGAAGATTAGCTATGGATTTCTTGCTAAAATAACAGTAGCTATTTTAATTTTTAAAACTTTTTATATAGATGATTTGAAAAGCACTAAAATATATAGTAAAAGAAGAATATTTGATATTCAACCTCCTTATCGCAAGATAACTTGTAGGCAGTTTCTTTTTCTTGTTTGTGCATATTGCTATATTTGCAAGTCTTAGGCAGCTGTGGTTCAGAGGGTGTCAGAGAGAGTACCTAGGTGTGAGTGGACATAATTCTAACATGTAGAAATTACTGTTAAAAGCTAATGTTATTAATGTTATTATAATGATGCCAGGTGTTACATTTAAATTTTATTATTTCCCTTTTAGTTATCCAAGCATTAGGTGAACACCTTAAATTAAGACAACAGGTTATTGCTACTGCTACAGTCTATTTCAAGAGATTCTATGCCAGGTACAACTATTTTCTTTATTTTGTTAGTCTGTTTGAAATTCTCTTCTAATTTCCTTATGCCATATATAAGTCATTTGTTTACTATAGAGTTAGGATTCCCTGCTCCTTGATCACCCAGTGTGTTTTCTAAATGGACATCATTTAACTCTTGTCTAATCTTGTTGTAGGTATTCTCTGAAAAGTATAGATCCTGTATTAATGGCTCCTACATGTGTGTTTCTGGCATCCAAAGTAGAGGTATAAAACAATTTTCTGTTCTTCATCAAAGTATATTCACTATGTATAGTTAATCTTTTTTTATATTGCCTTTGTATGGATAATCATGGGGGTGATTTATACAAGATAGTATACATATCTTGCAAATAATTACATTTTTTATTTAATAAATATGGTACTTACTATGTACCAGGTGCTTTAATGAGACCCTTTATAAGTTTTTATTTAATCCTATAACAGTGGAGTATATAGCAGTAGTATCCCTGTAGGGTAAAAGGGCCTTGACCTTGACTTGATCCTGAGACTAGAGCCAGGGAGAGAACACCCTGACCCTGATTTGACCCCAAGCCTGAGACCAGAACCAAGAAAAAGAATCCCACCAATCCCTGAGCTTGCCCAAAATCAGGCCACAAAAATCCCACCAATCCCATGGAAATCTCTGCTCCCCAAGAAACCCTTATAAAACCTGCCTTCTACTCAGTTTTCTGCTGCTTCTCATCCAAACAGAGGCAGCCACCCTCCTGGGTTCTTCCCTCCCAATAAATCTCTTGTGTGAGGTTTGTTGTGTGGTGTGACTTTGTGGTGCCTTGACTCCCAAATGCCAGGATGCCTTTCCCTTAGAGATGCAACACTTCCATAGGGGAAGCCTTTCCTCTCAGAGCTCTAACACTTGCATTGGGTAGACCTTCCCCCTTAGCTGTCAGCGCCTCCATCGGGTAAGCCTTTCCCCTCAGAGCTGTAATACCTCCATTGGGAAACCTTTTCCCTTTAGAGTTGTAACATTTTCATAGGGAAGCCTTTCCCCTCAGAGCTGTGATAGTGCCGTTTGGGGAACCTTTTCTCTTCAGAGCTATAACACTTTCATGGGGAAGCCTTTCCCCTCAGAGTGTAACACTTACAATCCCCATTTTATAAATGAGGAAACTAAGGCATAGAGAGAGCAGCAGTCATACACCTAGTCAGTGGCAGAGCCAATACCTGAGTCCTAAAAGTCTAGCCCTTTATCTTATGACTTAATTGCTTTGCTATCTTTAAAAGACATTGTTGGGCTGAGTGTGGTGTGTATGTCTTTAATCCCAGCACATGGGAGGCAGACGTATGAATTCAAGGCCAGCCTGACCTACGTAGTGAGTTTTGAGTTCCAAGACAGCCAGAGCTATATAGTGAGACCTTGTCTTGAAATAACAACAAGAAGACATTATTTGGTGCTAAGTTGTGTTAAGTACCATGGCTTATCTGCTGTAGCCTAAGAGTTTCTCTGCTTCTCTCCCATACTCTTTTTCTATATTCCTGTCTTCTCTGGTAACAAGCAATAGAGGGAAAGTAAAAGGGCAGGCTAGGATTAGGAAAGGCTATAGCTCTGTAGACTCTTCTCACAAGGAAAAGTGTGGGTGGTGGGAGCAGAAAAAGTAGGTAAGAGAGAAGACAGGTAAGGATATGGACCAGCAACTGGATTTCTGCTCAACGTATTTTTTCAATATTGTTGAGAAAGCTCATCTTTCAGCTATAACCCAAATAGTAGCAGATTTTGAAAACTGGCTGTTTTTCTTAACTAATCCACACAATCTCTAGTCTATTGTTTCTATTCTTGGTAATGTCTTTAGAATATTAATTGTATCCATGTGAATTGAATGTGATTTTAACCTAATAAGTTTATATTCCTTTTGTGTTCATTTTGATTTAGAAGTATCCATGACTTCTTTTTAAATTATCTCCCAAGAAATACTAAAGCCTTTTATAGGAACTTTTGTTAACTCTGTCCATGGTTTCTTGAGATAAAGTTTGAATAAATCTAATTATGGAAGTCAGTTGTAGAGTGCTTGCCTTGCATCCATGAGGCCTGCTTTCAGTCCTTAAGACTGGATTTGTGAAAGATCTTTTTGGATAAAGAGGCCTTGTAGGTGAGGTATATTTTCAGGTTTGGTTGTTGAATTACTTTTTTTTTTTCTTAAAAATCTTTTTTCATACAATATGTTTTGATCACATTTCCCCTCCCCCAACTTCTCCCAGATCCTCTTCCCTTTCCACCCAACTTAGTGTTCTTTTTCTCTCTCTCAAACAAAGCATCATAAAACCAAAAACATAAAACAAAATCAAAACAAACCAAAAAGCCAGAAAGAAATGGAAAGCCTGCAAAACACAAAACAGTAACAAAAACCATGGGGTTCATTTTGTGTTGGCCAGCTACACCTGGGCATAGGGCCTGCCCTAGAGTGTGGTTGATATACCAGTGTCGCTCCACAGGGGAAGCTGGTTTTCCCTCTCCCAGCAGGTATCAGTTGCAGATAGCCTCTTCATCCCCCTCCACTCAGTTTGTTCCATTACATTTTATCTCTAACTGTGACCAGATTTCTGTTTTGTCTAGTAGAATAGAAATTGTGTACAAATCATATTTAATATACACTCCTTAGTTTTTAGTTTTACTTATTAGGGTTTGAAATTTAAATACACACACACACACACACACACACACACACACACACACACACACTAGATTAGGTTATAGAGTACAGATTTCCCCCCACCTCACCCCCAGTTCTTTGAAAAGGGGTTTCCCTATATAACAGTCCTGGCTGTCCTGGAACTCCCTTTGTAAACCAGGCTGACCTGGAACTCATGTCTGCCTGCCTCTGCCTCCCAAGTGCTGGGATTAAAGGTGTATACCCCCACGCCTGGGCCGAATTACAGATTTTTAATTGAAGGTATTTGAATAGTTTTTAATTTGTTAAGTAAAGGCCCAATTCTTGCTTTTTCTGCTTTAAAAGGAAGTAAGTAATTTAGAAATCTTAAGTGGTTTATCTGAAATTAAATGAGAGTATATTTAAAGTACATTACATGATAAATTTTAATTATTTTATAGTGGTAGTATATTAGATTGAAAAGGAAATAACTTACCTAAGAAGCCTTATATTCCATTATAAGTGCTTCATCCTTTCAGGAAGGTTGGTGTTTGTGTGGTCTTCTGAGTAATATCAGCATTTGTTCGTTTGTTGATTGACTGGTTGGTAGATTGATTGTGCTAAGGGTCGAACACAGGGCCTTGCATATCCTTGGCAGGCAGGCAGGCAATACACTTCTGAGCTATACTCCAACCCAAATTATGAAATTTTTTCTAAATTATTGAAATTTTAAGGAAAGGTAATACATTTAGAAATATAAATACTTCATAGATTAAGTACGTAGAAACTGAAGAGGCAGTAAACATGAGAAGAACTTGGAAAAACTTTTTTGAATAGATCTCATATCTTTCATGTTTATTGGGTTAGTAAGTACTTGATCTCATTCACTTTTCTCTAGGAATTTGGTGTAGTCTCAAATACAAGATTGATCGCTGCTACTACTTCTGTATGTAAGTGCAAAAAGTATATTCTGTTTTAAGGATGAAGTCTAAAGAAAGCTGTAACATACAGATTTTGTTTTGTTTTTATGAGCCACATGTACGTGAATTTATTACGGCTCCAAAGACTATCCTTAGCATATTAGACAGGAAAAAAATGTTTGAAAAGATGTTTTTACTGATGTAGTGATGTAGACCTGTAATCTCAGTGCTTGGGAGGTGGAGGTAAAGGATTAGGAGTTCAAGGCTAGCCTCACCTACTTAGTGATTTTTGGGCCAACCTGGGCTATATGAGACTAACTCTAAAAAAAGGGGGGAGGGCTTGTTTTCGTTTTTAATTTATTTTCATTTTATGTTCATTGGTGTTTTGCCTGAATTTATGTCTATATGAGGATGTCAGAAGCCCTGGAACTGGAGTTATAGACAGGTGTGAGCTGCCATGTGGGTGCTAGGAATTGAATCCAGGTCCTCTGGAAGAGCAGCCAGTGCTTTTAACTGCTGAGCCATCTCTCCAGCCCTGAAATTTCTTTTCGACTTATTTTTACTATTTTATGTGTATGAGTGTTTTGTCTGCATGTATATCTATGTACTACATTTGTACTTGGTGCCCAAGGAAGTGATGAGCTTCCTTGTGGGTGCTAGGAATTGAACCTTGGTCCTGGGCAACAACAAAAAGTATTCTTTAATTACTGAGCCAACTCTCCAGCCTAAAAAACAAGTTTTTGTATTCATTACAATATTACTTTTTTTTTTTTTGAGACCAAGTCTCATCTGAAACTTGGACTCCTCTAGCTTTTACTTACCAAGAAGGATTGCTAATCTCCTGGTGAGATTACAGGTGTGGGCCTTCATGCCTAGTTTAAGACAATACTTTTCAGTGGTAAAAAAAATTAGCTGTAATGATGGGAATAATGTATTTTCAAACCTTCAAATTATATGATACAGAAAAGAATGTGACTGTGTAGACAGACAGTCATCTGAGTTAATTTTTGTTTGTTGACTTTTTGAGCCAGGATGTCATATATATAGCCCTGGCTGTCCTGGAACTTACAGAGATTTGCCTCTTGAATTCTGGGATTAAAGACTTTTATCATCACATCTAGCAACACTTGTGTTTTTAAAGAATTGTTTTTAATTATGTGTAGGTGTGTGTTTGCATGTGGGTATATGCATTTGAGTGTAGGTGCCCACGGAGGCCAGAGACATCAGTCCTCGTAGCTGGAATTATATAGAGTTGTGAACTGCCTGGTGTGGGTGCTGAGAACCAAACTCGGGCCCTCTGGAAAAGTGATCTTAACTGCTGATTTCATCTCTAGCCCCAGTTAGGTTAACTTTTACCCCATTTCTGTCTCTTTGTACTTGTGTCTGTCTCTATCCAGTTACATAACCTTTTTAAACAAGTTGCTCTACCTCTTGGCCTTAGTTTGGTTTGTTTGCTTTTAGACTTTTGAGACAGATACTCACTATGTAGTGCTGGCTTGACTCATGATAGTTCTCTTCCCTGAACTCCTAAATGCTGAGATTACAGGCATAACCCACCATCTTTCCCAATTCATATCAAGCCTTTTTTAAATTGTCATGTATGTGCAGTTTGCTGTGTACGTATGCATATTTGTATGTGGTAGACATATGTACTTGTGTGTACATACACGCCAAGACCTGAGGTTAATGTATAGACTCATCCTTCATTTTTCTTCCACCTTAATTTGTTGAGGCAGGGTCTCTCCATTAAACCCAGAGCTTGCCAATATGGCTAGTCTTGCCACTACAGCTTACTGTGGGGGAGCTCCTGTCTCTGCTTTCTGCTGGAATCACAGATGGACTGCCATACACATAATTTATGTCTGGGGATCCAAACTCTGGTTTCCGCATGCTTGTAGCACTTCAACTGCTGAAACATCTTCCTAGACCACATCTTAGGCTTAAGGGTAGAAGTTTGCTGTAAAACTTTAATAACACCATACATATGTCACCTTAATGATGCTTTGAATTGTTTTCTGGAAACGTATCTAATCTATTGTCTAATCTGCAAGATGGAGAGTTATGATGAGGATAAAACCAGTTAATATGTACAGCATGTTGAACAATGCCTTGCTGTTTCTTTTCTAGGATTATTATAACAAAATACCAGATTGGATATTTAAACAGAAAGGTATTTTCTCAAAGTTCTAGAGTCTGAAGGTCCAAAAACCAAGGCACCAACAAGTTTGGTTTCTCTTGTGGCCTCCTTGTTTGGCTTTTATGGTTATTTCATTGCCCTTCGTGTGCCTGCACCTTTACTTTCTTTCTTTCTTTCTTTTTTTTTTTTTTTTTTTAAGATTTGTTTATTTGATGCATATAAGTATCTTGCCTGTATGTACATCATGCTGGTGCTATGGAGATGAGAAAGAGAATATTGTATCCCCTGAAATGGAAGTGATAGACGTAATAGTGACGGCCATGTGGATGCTAAGAACCAAACTTGGATCCTCTGCAAGAGCCACAAGTGTTCTTAACCACTGAGTCATCTCTCATCCCTCATGTGTCTTCCACATCATATTAAAACAGCAGTAGTCGGGGGTGTGGTGACAGACGCCTTTAGTCCCAGCACTTGGAAGACAAGGGCAGGTGGATCTCTGTAAGTCTGAGGCCAGCCTGGTCTACATAGTGAGTTCCAGGACAGCCAGAGCTACTTAATGAGACCCTGGGTGGGTTGGGGGAGGGACCAGCAGGTAGACATTCTGTTGCTGTGAAGAATATTGAGTGAAGCAGTTCTTTTGTTGTTGTTGTTGACTGTTTTGTTTTGTTTGTGAAGCAGTTTTGAAGGAAGGATTTATTTTGACTCATAGCTTCAGAAGTTTCTGTCTGTGGTTTGCTGCTTCCGTCACTTTTAAGCCTCTGGTGAAGCAGAAACATCACAATGAAAGGGTATGACAGGGAGAGCTACTTACTTCATGATGGCCAAGAAGCAGAGGGTGGAGGAGACTGAGGACAGGAAGTATCTCTTTAGTGGCACTCCGCCAGGGATCTGCGTCCTCTAATTAGGCCTACCACCCACAGCTCTACCACCTCCCATTGGGACGTTCAGTTAGGACTCCATCAGTGTTTAGAAACTTCATCTTTCTGTGATGGCATCCTCCAGCTGATGACTTAGCCTTCAGCATATGAGTCCCGGGGGATACTTTATGTCCAAACTACATCAAGCCATCCTTTGACCTAATTTAACCTTTACCTCTTTTTAAAAATGATTTAATATGTGTATGTGTGTTTGGTATTTGCATGTGCATATGAGCACCCGAAGAAGCCAGAAAAAGGGTGTTGCATTCCCTGGAGCTGTAGTTACAGGCAGATGTGAGCCTCCTCACACGGGTTGAGAACTGAACTCTGATGCTCTGCAAGAGCAGTGAGTGTTCTTAACCGCTGAGCCTCTTTATTGCTGTAAAGGTCTTCTCCAGGTATAATCCCCTTCTGAGATGATAGGGGTAGGACTTAAGCATGCAAATTACTGATTTTGTTTCTTTTAGTTTTTTGAGACAGTTTTACTACATAGCCTTGGAGAGATGGCTCAACCCTGATGACCTGAGTTTGATCCCTAGAACCCATAAGATGTCCTCTAAATTCTACCCACATCATGGTGTACGTGTGTGCATGCACAAACACAGAATGAATAATAGATGTTTAAAAAATGTGGATCCAGTGGTAGTAGCGTATGTCTTTAATCCCAGCACTGTGGAGGGTAGAAGCAGGTGGATCTCTGAGTTCAAGGCCAGCCTGGTCTACAGAGTGAGTTCCAGGACAGCCAGGACTAAAAAAAAGTGGGTCATATTGTTTTAGCATAGGTGGAATAGAAGCTGACAGCATAAGGTAAATCTAGTCTCATTGGAGGCATTAAGTGTCCAAATCCAGGGGTTAGTGATGTGTATTGATTACAAACTTTTTTGAAACAGGATCTCACTGTCTAGACCAGACTGGCCTCAGACTCAGAGAGATCCACCTGCCCTCCCTATTGCTGGGATTAAAAACATAAACCACTGTCTGGTCCTGTGCAGACATTATTTTACCTTGTTGATTCTCTGCCATTAATAGGAACCTGTTTTATTTGTATACTTTATACCCTACTTACACATAAAGGAATTCCAAAACCCAGAAACCTAAATGGAAACATTTTCAAAATAAGGAAAAGAAAGAATACGAATTTCCTCATGTTGAAATAGTTCTAGGTTTCAGATCTTGGCAGATGTTACCTAAATTATGTGTACAGTACTTAATTTATAAAATACCCTTTTTGAAAATGTAATACAGAAAAGCACAGAATTCCCCTCGTTTTGAGTGAAGGAAGTCACTAGTACCAATGGAAGGATCTATAAACCAGAGCTGCTAGAGCTGCCAGTTGCTACCCTAATTGGTTTAAGTATTATAACCTAATGACTTGAATACAATTTTCTCAATAGTACTTAAGTATGTGTAACTCTTGACTTCTTGAGGAGATAACAGTTGTTTTTCATTTGTACTTTATTAGTGAGTACAAATGGTAACAATATTGTATAAGAAAATGACTTTGCATGTATCATGGTGTAGCAGATCTCTTACCTTGAGGCCTGTCTAGCATACATAGCAGGTTCCAGGCTAGCCAAGGCTACATAATGATACCTTGTCTCAAACAAAAAACTAACAATAAATAAATACATTTTTGTATTTGTTTAAGAATAAATACATTTACATATTTATGTCTTGGTAAAGAAGCACTTATAAGCTCAGAAAATATCAATTAGTTAAAAAAAATTCTTTAGTCTCAGATAATCACAGCTGATTTTGGTATATTATCCTAACTTCCCTCCCATTTTTTGTTAATAGGTTGCTATATATTTGTCCTGTATCCATTCTAAGATAAATACAGGCAAACAGAAAAATACCAATCTAGAGTTGTAAAGATTTTAGAGATGTTAGAATCTATTGATTTTTTTCAGTCTTTTAATCTTTTAAAAAGCAGTAGAAGCTTTTTCCTTTTCTTCCTCCTTTCCCTTCTTACCTCTCTTTCCATATCCTTCCCTCCCCGCTTCCCCTCTTCCCTTTTCCTTTACCTCTGCAGTCTTCTTGCCTATACTCCAAGTGCGGGGAATGAAGGCACATGGCACCATTCCAGCATGAACCTTTATTTGAAATAAAATTGAAGCTTTCCAATTGTATAGGCAAACTCAATCTTTGTCCTTCCTGGAAACAAAGCTCTAAATCTTTTAAGTATTTCTGAGAGCTCCTATTGGAGGTAGTAAGTACAGCCTACCTTCTAATATTTTTTGCTATGTTAAAGGAATTTTGGATAAATTCATGTTGGCATTTTCTTGATTTTAATTGTTTTGTTTTGTTTCTTATAGTAAAAACTAGATTTTCATATGCTTTTCCAAAGGAATTTCCATACAGGATGAATCATGTAAGTATATTAAATAAAATTTCATATTAACTGACTTCATTTTATATTAGAATAAACTTCATAGTCTCAGGAATGGGAGTTTCAAGTAATATGGGAGTTTCAAGTAACTTAAAAAATAAATAAATAGCCGGGCGGTGGTGGCGCACGCCTTTAATCCCAGCACTCGGGAGGCAGAGCCAGGCGGATCTCTGTGAGTTCGAGGCCAGCCTGGGCTACCAAGTGAGTCCCAGGAAAGGCGCAAAGCTACACAGAGAAACCCTGTCTCGAAAAACCAAAAAAAAAAAATAAATAAATAAATAAATAAATAAATAAAAGCCAGGCGATGGTAATGCACGCTTTTAATCTTAGCACTTGGGAGGGAGGCAGAGGCAGGCAGATGGATCTCAGTAAGTTCAAGGCCAGCCTGGTCTACAAAGTGAGATCTAGGATAGCCAGGACTCTCAAAACAAACAAAAAATCTCAATATGTTTTTTCTGGTAATAGTTAACAGGAGTGATTATTAATCTTAGGTGCCAGTTAAATCACCTTAGGAAGTTGTTGTTGTTGTTTGTTGGTAGGGGAGGGGTTTGGCTTTTTGAGACAGGGTTTCTCTGTAGTCCTGGCTGTCTTGGAACTCTCTGGCTCACTCTGCAGACCAGGCTGGCATCTGTCTCCTGAGTATTGAGATTACAGGCATGTGCCACCATGCCCAGCTTAAATTTGAAGTTTCAAGCAGTTCTAACAGTTTTTTTGTTTTTGTTTTTTTTGTTTTTTTAAGTAGCAAGAATTCTGGGGTTGTAGCTCAGTAGTAGAGTAAATGCTTAGCATATCTGGGACTTTGGGTTCAATCCCAAGTTACTACCACCACCACCCCAGAAGAAGACCATGATACTGCCTTTTCCTTATAAGGATTTAAAACATGTAACAGTAAAATGCTATTTTTTGCCAAGACTCCCTATTTGCTGTTTACTCTAAGCACTCGGGAGGCAGAGGCAGGCAGATCTCTGTGGCTTTGAGGCCAGCCTGGTCTACATAGTTGGGCCCTGACTCAAAAAACAGATAAAACTCGTAATTTTTATTGTGAATATTAATGCTAATATAAGTTACTGTGTTTATTTTCTTGATTTAGAAATTTTATGTAAGACTGGTAAATGACTTAATTTGTCTGCATCTGTAAGTTGTTAAACAACAAAGAATATTCATGTAATTATGCTTATTTTCACTGGATTTTTTTTAAACAGATACTAGAATGTGAATTTTACCTTTTAGAATTAATGGTATGTATATTTTTTCATAATACAGTAAAACAATTTAATGAATTGTTCTGAAGGGAGGTATATTTTAAATTTATCCAAATGATATGTGATGGCAAAATCATAGAAATATAATAGCATCATCACTTATTCCTTTCTGAGACCTATAAAATAATTTGTATATCTTACTTGGGCTTGAAAAAAAATGTCTTTTATTTTATTATAACTATAATAAAGACTACAAGCAAATAAGCCAGGAAGTTAAACCACTGTAAACTGTGTGCACAGTTTGTGTTTATGTGCAGAGTTAAAGATAGATTGTGTCTTGGGCAGAATTCTGCTCCTCCATGAGAATTATGGATTTATAGGCTAATAAGAGGTGTCAGTGTGTTGCAGATGTGACACTTTGAGTCTCTAAGGGAAAAAAAAAAATGAAAACTGACTGTCTGGCAACTGATTTACCAAGGTGTATTCCAGAGAAAGCCCTGCCTTCACTGTCACAGTAGCTGGGGTCATATTTGAGTAAGAATAAAAAAGAAGCAAGTAAGAGATAGAGAAATTAATCTGAAATACACAGAACAGTTAGTTGGAAAATGATATAGTTTTGTGTTGTAATAAACCTGCTTTTATACATATATTTTTCAACTGTTTCTAGGATTGTTGCTTGATAGTGTATCATCCTTATAGACCTTTGCTCCAGTACGTGCAGGACATGGGCCAAGAAGACGTGTTGCTTCCCCTTGCATGGTAACTAGAACAGAAGTTACTCATATGTGACATGATACTAGACGGGAGGGTTGACAACTGAGTATGTGGTTTGGTATTACAAAGTGCCCCAAGACAGTATATTCAGCAGCTACCTGCTTGTTAAATTTTAATGGCTACAGTGGTATAAGTCATAAAGTCATCCATGTCTTGAATTACCTATTTGATAAGTATTTCTTTTAATGTTTTATATGAAAACATGACTTTACATGAAAATTTAAGAATAAATTTTTTTCAAATAATACTTTTTGATTGGATTCAATGTAAACCCATTTCAAATTATGGCTTTTTCATTTTACTTTTTATTTTCCAAAAATGTGAAACTTTTATTTTACATAATTTGTTATGGGGTCCCAAAATCGAAAATAAGTTAGTTTTATATTCAGTAGTGGGTATCACTTTGTTGTCACATTCACACATCCATTGTTTTGCCTCTGTTTTCATGTGTGGCTGTTCTCAGAAATAGAACAGGGTTGTAAGTGTACAGAATGGGAGAAGTTCCGTAGTCAGTGACGTGAATGTGCTGTTAGTAACATTAAGATTTACATTTCTACAGGAGGATAGTGAATGATACCTACCGCACAGATCTTTGTCTGCTGTATCCGCCTTTCATGATAGCTTTGGGTATGTAAATTTGGGGTGCCTTTAGTGGTTAAACTGTTTCTGCCTATTTAGGTTATGCTAAAATACATTTCACCTGATGGTAATTTATGTTTTTATGTAGTAGACTAATCCTTGAATGTGAGCTTTCAGTAATACGCACTACAACAGATTAGCATTATTGTCCCCTCAGCCCCCTTCTTTGGTAATTTTCCCCCCTTAATTCATTTAAAATATTTTAATCAGTACCTAAACAATGTTTTTGTTTGCTTAAAGGGGAAAATGTAGGTTTAAATCTGCTGTTATTAGTTGTCTTTGAGTATCTGGTTTTGATTTCCATTTCTGGACCCAAGAGCTTAAGGAGAGAAGCGTCTGTGCTTGTGTTGCTAGGAGAAGTTAGCTGGCCTCCCACGGCGTGGAGAAGGGATGCAGTGATGGGCTAGAGTAGACTACGTTTAGACATTGCTTTCTTTCTTTTTTTTTTTTTTTCCGAGACAGGGTTTCTCTGTGTAGCTTTGCACCTTTTCTGGGACTCACTTGGTAGCCCAGGCTGGCCTCAAACTCACAGAGATCCTCCTGGCTCTGCCTCCCGAGAGCTGGGATTAAAGGCGTGCGCCACCGCCGCAGCCGCCGCCGCCACCGCCGCCACCACCACCACCACCACCACCACCCAGCAGACATTGCTTTCTTTACACTTGTAGAAACAATTAGCTAATTTTTCTGAGTTTGTAAAATTGTGGGAGGGATAATAACTTTATAAAGAATTGTTTCAGTAGTTAAGTGAAATGTCCTATAGAACACCAAATGTCTGTTATATCCTAGGCACTTAATAGTTTCTGCTCCTTTTTTCTCTCCTGTTGATTCTCATGGCTCCTTTCTTACACCACCACCCCCTCTTTAAATTAATCCAGACTTCGTTTTCTTTTAATTTTTCCCCATACTTAATTTCACTGGATGGGTTTCTTCTCTCTCTTTTCAGTTATGTCTTTTTTCATTGCTCTTTTAGATTTATTTTATTTTATATGTATGAGTATTTTGGCAACACGTATATGTAACACACTCATGGCATAAGCCCTTGAAGGCCAGAAGAGGGCACCAGATCCCCTGGAACTGAAGTTAGAGATCGTTGTGAGCCTTCTGTGGATGCTAGGAATTGAAGGGAAGTCCTCTGCAAGAGCAGCAAGTACTCTAAACAGCTGAGCCATCTCTCCAGCCCCCCTTTTCAGTTACTTCATAAACATCTCTGGTTTTCATCTTTATAGTACAGGTCACACATGAGCTATACTTAACAGCTCTACACTGGACTTGGTGGGATTCTGAGGTAACACCAGTGAGAAAAGATGCTGGGTTTATATAGATAGGAAGGAAGAAATAGCAGGGCACATGGCATGATTTTGCCATCTCTGTGTGGTCTATGTTCCCCTTAGGGAGTCTTACTGAAATGTGTGGCTTTTATAATCTTTTATGTGTTGAAACATTAAAGTAAATGTGTTTATGGGTGAGCATTGACAAGTTCATGTGAAGGTGTGGTACACATAGTGGAGGTTAGAGGTCAACCCTTGTCATTCTTCAGGAGTCATCTTTTTTTTGTTTGTTTGTTTTTGTTTTACAAGACAGGGTTTCTCTGTTTAGTCCTTGCTATCCTGAAACTCACTTTGTAGACCAGGCTGGCCCCAAATTCAGAGATTCGCCTGCCTCTGCTTCCTGAGCGCTGGGATTAAAGGTGTGCGCCACCACTACCCAGCATCATCTACCTTCTTGAAACGGTACCTCACTGGGACCTAGGGCTCATTTATTAGATTAGGCTGACTGGTCAGTGAGCCCCAGAGATTACAAGTGTTTGCCATCATTTCCAACATTTTCTTTTATGTGTATGGGTGTTTTGCTTACATGTATGCCTATGCATTGTGAGCATGCATTGCAGAAGCCAGAAGAGTGTATTGGCTCCTCATGATTGGAGTAACAGTTGGTTGAGTCATCATGGCTTCTGGGAATTGGACCCAGATACTCTAGAAGAGCAGCTAGTGCTCTTAGCCTGTTGAGCCATCTCTCCAGCCCTAGTCCCATGCCAACGTTTTTTTAATGTGGGTGTTGGGAATTGAACCCAGTTCTTATGCTTGCACTGCAAGCACTTTACCAACTACACTGTCTCCACAGCCTGAGTCTGTTCAGCTGAGATCGTGTGCCTGATCAGTTCTTCATGTCTGTGGTCCTTACATAGCTCCATTTGACACTTTACTGACCCCTCATTAGCCTTGCCCAGAGTGTATTAACTTTTTAAATTTTGTTGCTAGCATGGTGATCTAGTGCTAGTTAGTAACTTTAGTTGGAAATTAAGTAGTTTCCAAACTAAGGGTTCTTTGATCTTAGCTATATATGTTGGTTATCTCAGTTGTCTGTCCCTTCTGTAATCTAGCCATCTTTTTCATCCAGTTTGGTGATGGGTCTCCAGCATCCTTATGCTTATTACAGTTATATCATATCCTACATACTATTGAGCTGGGCTTGTGATTCTAAATACAGGCTAACATCCCTCACACTCTCACAGGAAATATTTGGCATCCAAGGAGATGGACCTGGATTTCATAGTGAAATGAGATGCTGCTGGCATCTCATGGGTATAGAAACCAGGGATGTTGTTCAGCTTTTTTTTTTTTTTTTTTCCCTTCCGAGACAGGGTTTCTCTGTTGCCTGTCCTTGTTCTCACTCTGTAGACCAGGCTGGCCTCAGAACTCACAGAGATATGCCTGCCTCTGTCTCCCGAGTGCTGGGATTAAAGGCGTGTGCCACCACTGCCCGGCTGCTGTTCAGCATACTTTACCACACAAGACAGTCTGTTTTGTTTTTGGTTTTTTGGGTTTCTTTTTTTTAAGATTTATTTATTTATTTTATGGATATGAGTGTTCTATCTGCATGTACAACTTTATGTCAGAAGAGGGACATCAGATCCCAGTATAGATGGTTGTGAGCCATGTTGCTGGGAATTGAACTCGGGACCTCAGGAAGAGCAGCTCTTAACCACTGAGCTATCTGTTCAACCCCCAAGACAGTCTTAAAAGCTTGTCTAACCAAACAACCGTCGTGGAAAGGTCAATAAATGCTTAAGTGAAATTTAGCTTTTTAAAATTTACATCATATCCCCTAAGGATGGGTTCTATTAATTGGAACTAAAGATTAAGGTCTAGGGATGGAGAGTCTGGGATGGACATTCTGGGGTATGACATTTGGGTGAGGTCTGCTTCTGTAGACAGCCAAAGATCACCAGGTCATTAATAATATCCCAGCTTTCTGGATAGAAGCATTTTATTTCCTCCTTTGAGGAGACATCCATGTGTAATGAACATTCCTGGTTCCTCCAGCAGTCTGTGGATGCAAGGACTTCTGTGCGCCCAACAAACATTTTTAAGACTTGCAGTTCGTTGGTGAGGTGGGCTCTGTTTTCTGTCACTGACTACTTTGCACTACTGTTCATAGGTGATTTTCCCTGTTTACTTTTCTTGGTTGGAGTTGTTTCTCTTGTACAAATCTGCCCTCAGGGCCCCACACCTGACCAGGATACAGTGAAGACAGGGTGTCAAGAACTGTCCTGCAGCCGGAAGTTTTTCTCTGTATCATTAAATTAATAAATGGTCTATTAAGTGTTGATGCACAATGTAAAGTGTTTGTAATCTCAACATTGTAACTTACTTTAGAAAAAGAGTATTGGGGGCTGGAGAGATGGCTCAGAGGTTAAGAGCACTGAATGCTCTTCCAGAGGTCCCGAGTTCAATTCCCAGCAACCACAAGGTGGCCCACAACCATCTGCAATGAGATCTGGCACCCTTTTCTGTATACATAATAAATAAATCTTTAAAAAAAAAAAAAAAAAAAAGAAAAAGAGTATTGGAAAATATGATAAAATCTCTATGAAAATCTTTAGTTCTAAGACTGTTTGTCGGTAAATTTGAACAATTGTTTCTAATTTTTTTCCAGCTTGCCTACATGTAGCCTGTGTTGTACAACAGAAAGATGCTAGGCAGTGGTTTGCGGAACTTTCTGTGGACATGGAGAAGGTACTCTTATCTTTTTTTTTTTTTTTTAAACATAGTCTCGCTGTGCAGCCCCATCTTTCCTGAAACTTGCTATGTGGATCAGGCTGGCTCCAGTGCATGGAAATCCACCTGCCTCTCTCTCCCAGGTGCTGGGATTAAGGCATGTGCCACCATGATCTGCATGATGTGTGTTCTTGATATGCTAAAACCTTGCTAGTTTTTGCTACTGATAGCTTTTGAAATATTTTCTTCTAGATTTTGGAAATAATCAGGGTTATTTTAAAACTATATGAGCAGTGGAAGAATTTTGATGAGAGAAAAGAGATGGCAACTATTCTTAGTAAGATGCCGAAACCAAAACCACCTCCAAACAGGTATATTTTAGACCTAATTACTGATTTGATTTCACTGTATAGTGTACTCAGTTATATTTTTCTTAGATTGTTCCATCTTTTATCTTTTTCTAAAAACTTATACTAAAATTTCTTGATTTCTGTCTATGTAATTTCTGTCTTGATAAGTTGAAGATGTCTCAGTTTTAAGATAAAAAATTCTCTGTCTAGCAACTTCCTAATGCAATGGAGGTCTATTACAGGTATCCCTCAACATATAGTCACATTCTGTACATAAATGGAACTGGATTAGGCACACTTACTTGAAATTCAGAGATAAAAAGCTCAAAAAAATTCTTTCCATTTGACTCTCTGCCATCCCTCTCCTTTCAGTAATGATTATTTTATACATTTCAGTAACCATTTTCAAAAATTTTGATGATCTGATATACAAAAGATAATAAATTTTGACTTCTGAGTGATCCTATGATCCATAGCACACAGTTACATATAATTTTGTAAAAATGAACCTCCTCTGCTAAGAAGTTTTTGTTGTTTTAATTGAATCTGCTCACTTAGTTGAGTGGCCCTCCGCCCTCACTGTGTGTCAAATCATACAAAGAAGAGAAAGAGGTGAAAAGGGAAATGAATGCTGTCGGCTTAGTTGTTACTTTAAAAGGTCATGAACACTAAGATGCACTTATAGACTGCTCTGGTTACAGTGATGTTACAGTTGAGAAGAAAATGATGCTTACTGTTACTAGGAGCTGCTTAAGGCAGTCATTCAAACAGCTACCTTTGGATGCGTTTTTTACAGAAGCTCCCTGAGTGATTCTCCACTAATGGCAGGGCCTGAAGCTGCAAGATGATGATGGACAAGATAAGGCAATCTCCTATTGTCACAGTTACTGGTATTTTCAGCTTTAGTTATTTTTATTTTAATATTCAGCATTTTTCTAGGAAATTACCATATTTTTTAATGTATAAAGGTTTGTTATTACCATATGATTTTATGATGTCAGTGGACAGCAGGTTTTTTTGTTTTTGTTTTTGTTTTTGTTTTTTTGAAAGACACCTTGGATTTTCCTAAAGAATAGAAGTAGCGTTTTACATGTCTGATTTGATTTTGTAGGAAATTTGTCCAGAAGTTGTAATCTCTATGTTGAGTGATACCTGTAATAATAGTGAAATCCCAAGCGCTAACTTACATCTCTGAATGTGTATGGACACTAACTTCCAGAATGCTTGTTGTGTATGAGGGCCCAAAGTTACAGAAGAATAAAAACATAAAACCAAATGTTAGTTTTCTGGATTTTGATTTTCTACACCTGTGTCTTATAGTCAGGAATGTCTTTGTTTTGTAGAATTGTGCCACAGAATAATAAACTTCAGAAACTAGTAGTATTATCAGGTGTTGAAAATGAATCTTTTAATTGGCATAAAATTTCTTTCTTCCCCATTTGAACAGTGAAGGAGAGCAGGGTCCAAATGGAAGTCAGAACTCTAGCTACAGCCAATCTTAAAACACCCTGAAGAATCCTGTAGTGGACCACTTGGAAGTAAAGCATTGGACAGTTTGAGTAATGTCTTCATTGGAAATCAGATGCAAACGAATAGCTTGTTTCTATCAAGCCTACTGGGAAGTGACTTAATTTTCACAAAATAAGTTTTCCTTACTTAATTTGATTCTAGTGTGTAATTTATTAAATCTTAATTATAGAATTTAGTAAAGCTCTAAGGGGACATTTTAGACATACGCAGACATTTCAGAGTTAACTTCTCTCCCACACAAATGTACGCACACACAATAATACTGGGTTTTTGATTAGGATAATTGAAGTTTTTATTAATAGCTTTTTTAAATAAGGCAGGAGACATGAAATGTCATTTGTTTAAAATTCTCTTTGGACATTAAGGGACCAAAAAAAAGGACATAAAAAGTCAGTAAGAGCCCTTTACCCTCCCCAGTTAAATTTTAAAACTTTTATTCTTAAACAAATTAAATCTTAGGAAAAATTATAATGTTTTGGAATGGTATTTATAATTTGAGGGAGATTAATCAAGAACTTACTGATTTTTAAAATGTATTTTATTCAATACTTTTTGTATCATCACAGAAGATACTAGCCCAACCTGTTAGAAAAGTGCAATATGTATAGTATGCTTTGACATTTTAAAGGTTATATTGACTTATTAGCTGTTTTGAAATGCTGGGAAACCTGAAAGAAAAAGTTATTTGCATTTAATTCACAGTTAATAAGCATTTTAAAAGTTCAGTTTACTGAAACAATGAAGTTGAAATTTGGGTGAAATTTTAATGTTCATCTTTAACCTGTACTGGAAATTTTTATGAGATGCATACACCCCAGTCTAATTTTGTGTTTTAGTGTGAGCTGACAGATGTACAGTAAGTATTCTAAGTCAAGAACCTAGTCAGAGTGGGGCGGTGGTGGCATACGCCTTTAAACCCAGCACTTGGGAGGCAGAGCCAGGTGGATCTCTGTGAGTCCAAGGCCAGCCTGGGCTACAGAGCGAGATCCAGGACAGGCACCAAAGTTACACAGAGAAACCCTGTCTCGGGGGAAAAAAACAAAACAAAACAAAAAACAAAAAAGAACCTAGTCAGGTTTCAGGCTAGTGTGATACTGGCCATTCTTAATTTTTGTGAGTGTAGACTTCAGAATAAATGTTACATCTGTGGGACTGGTATCACTGGAACTTCATAAATTACTCATTTTCTTCAGACTTGAAGGAAGAATGACAAAACTTGGAGTAATGGAATATTAATGTGTAGTTTTGCACTTATAAAAAATAAATCATGAAAAAAATTAAGCATTGACTTCCTAGTTAAAATTAGAAGAATAAAAGTTAAGTTCTTCAGCTATATTTACTAGTGTCTTGAATTCATCTTGTTACGTTTTACTTAGGTTTTCTGAGAACCTTTCTGCATGTTAAATTAACACCCGTTATACTTTGTAAAGGGGTGATTTCATATGGTTTATGAATAGATTGTAAGGAAAGTCTTGATTCCTTACGGAGAACATCATATGAGCTGGAAAGGAGACACATTGGTACCAATACGGAACCTCCTAAGGTTGTATAAGGATAAGAAAAAGAAAACAAGCTCTCTGCAGGCCTTAAGGAGTGAATCTGAGCTTAGCTTGGATGCTTGGTGATTGCTCATTACAGTCATTAGCTATAGTTTTATCTTCAAGCTTTTTTTTTCCAGTTTATTTTTTCAGTCTACTCTTTGTGCTTCATGGTTTTCTTTGCAATCTCTTACTGTAGAAAATTAAAAGTTTACAAGAGCAGACAGAGCAGTGTAATAAACCTCCATGTGTGTATGATCTAGCCTCAACAATTACTGATTCATAGTCAGTTTCACCTTTTTTCAACTTCCACACAGTCTCCAGTTTGCATATTATTTTGAAGAAAATTCCAGACATATTGTTTCATCCGTAAATATTTCAGTATGTGCTCCTGAAATGTAATGGCTCCTTAAAACACTATAAAAGTACTTTTGAAGTGTTTTTTTTATACTTTTTTGTACTTTACTTAAAAGTAATGAAAATAATTATCAAATATTACATTAAAAGTTTCAGTTCAGAGCAGAGTGGCGGTGGTGCATGCCTTTAATCCCAACACTCGGGAGGCAATGCCAGGTGGATCTCTGTGAGTTCGAGGCCAGCCTGGTCTACAGAGCGAGATCCAAGAGAGGCTCCAAAACTACACAGAGAAACCCTGTCTCAAAAAAAAAAAAAGTTTTCAGTTCCCTGGGAGTTGCAGAACAGTCTATGTATTCATTTATAAATCCTTTTACTTTTAGATTCATGGATTCTTCCTCCATGTTACTAAAAAAAAAAATCCTGGTTTTCATTTGTTAATCTATGAAGTTTCCCATAGCCTAAATTTTGCTGTGGGCATTGTTAGCATGCCATTTAGTGTGTTTTCTTTCTCCTTTGTATTTTTGTAAATTGGCAATTGAATATGAAGGTCGATCACGTGGAGATCCTTTTTGTTTTGGCTAGACTACTGTATAAGGTGGCAGTCTCTTCCATTAGTAAGCACATAGTGGCTGTTGCTGTATTGTCACCCACATGACAAGTATTGTTTTTCAGAATCAATTACTGTCTTAGGCACACTGTCCAGTATCATAGCCACCAGCCACTTAGGGTTGAACGGTTACCATGTGGCTTGTCTGAATGCAGATATGCTGTAAATGTGCAAACGTGTTGGATTTCAGGTACTTATTACAAAACAAAAGAATGTTAAAAAAAATCTCAATTTGTTTATAACCATTATGTGTTTTAAATGATAATATTTTGGATACATAGAATTAAATAAAACATTATTAAAATTAATTTTTCTTGTTTCTTTTTAATTTTTTAAATGTAGGAACATTTAAAATCACAGCGTGGCTTGCATTGGACAGTGCTGCTGCCAGATAATAATGAAAATGTTAAGACTCCTGTCTCATTCCACCTACCTCTCATTCCCATTTCCTGCTTTTCTTTTTAACTTGTAGTCATTTCTCTGCTATATACTTCAACATTTCCAATTAGCAAGCTCCTAATATATATAATCATTAATTTGAGCATTTACTGTATGTCAAATGTACATCATGTGCTGAGTTTGAGCTAGTTCTCAGAGTAGCTTTACTCCAGAGATGAGAACTCAGTCATAGTTGAAGTAAGCGACAGCTTAGATACAGATTCTAATCCATAAAACCTGCTCATCTGAACTCCAAATATGTTACCATGCTACCTCTCCGCTTACTCTCCCCTTTGTATTCCTTTTTTATTTATTTTCAATTGTAAATATTACCTTACTATGGAAGATGGAAGGTCTTGCTTTCTCTCACATTTCCCTCTCTCCCCTATGATGGGACTTCTATCATTTAATTGTACAGTTTGAGCTGGCCCACAGCTTTAGTACTAGCACTTAGGGTATGGAGACAGGAGGATCAGAAGTTCAAGTCTAGCCTGATCTACATATGAACAGTTTGAGGCCAGCCTGAACTACCTGAGACAGTATCTCCAAATGACAATACATTGTACAGTGTTCAGTTATATACAGGTATATAGATAATAGTCTTCTATAATCTAATTTTTTAAAACTTTTTTGTCTTTTATATTTGGCAATTACCTTGGTTATAATTTGTTTAGTGTTTCTTGTTAGGTTATCCCAGAATTATTTATTGTTTGTTCTTTAAAATTCACACTTAGGGAGTCTTTGGCTGAGTGCGTCATCCTCCAGGAGAGAATGACTACCCTCAAGGCCGAGTATCACTACTGTGTAGAACCAACTAGATTGTGATTCCCCTTGTTCTCTCTTATGTAGTTACCAAAGATAGGGGCATTTCAAGCCTTTTAAGTAGTACCTTGCTCTTGTTTGAGAATGCAGTTCATTCTCTGTCTAAGGGTATTAGTCTTGTTGGTTGTTTTAAGACTTCTTTGTTCCATTTTGTTCTTTTTTTTTTTTTTTTAAATTCGAGACAGTTTCTCTGTGTAGCCCTGGCTGTCCTGGAACTCACAGAGATCCGCCTGCCTCTGCCTTCTCAGAGCTGGGATTGAAGGCGTGGGCTGCCACCCTGCTCTTTATTCCCTGTTTTAACAGTTTCCTTTACAGCCCTTCTGTTTGGTTTAGTCACACTGTTGCTAGTTAGAATGTTGCCATAATTTAAAGGATCCTACATATTTGAGAAGACAGAAAAAGATATTTGGAAAGTCTGTGTGTTAAAATAAGAGTAGCATAGAATAAAGGATAAACAACTGTCATCAGATTTAATCTTCAAAGAAAATATGAAGTAGGAACTTATGAATGCACTCAGATACACTCAGTGAGATTCTACAAGGATATCATCTTCTAGAAGGTTCTCTCCTTTCCACTCCTCCCTCCCTACTGAAATCTCTCTCATTTTCTCTTTCTCCTTGGTGCTTGTTGTGGGATTTTCACCAGAGGAGACTGCTCAGACATGGGTCTAAGCCAATAGAAAGTCTGTATTAGCCGGCTGGCGACTACACTGGGTGTTCGGGATCCCAGTGTAGCCCTGAGCCTTTCTCAGGGTGAGCTCTTTAGTACACAAAACATGGTCTGGGTTGACATACTTCAGTTAACACCAACAGGTAGCCAGAAGCAGAATTACAGTAGCTAAAAAGCAAGGTTAGTACATTTAAAAACTTCCCACAACTATATATGGACTTCGGTGGATTAGGCCTTGGTTTTTGATTTGGCTGGTGGTTCTGTCCGCATGCTGAGTTTTACAGCTGAGTGGTACTTCCGTCATGGCTGTGCTAAGGTCTAGGGCCCTGTTACAGTGCAGAAGCAACTTACAGTGTTGAAAAGGTCTTGGTAATTTAAAAGAATTTTTTTTTTCCAAACACAGGGAACAACTTATTTTGCTGGAAGGTATGTAAATTGTTCACTTTTTCGTTTGTATTGACTGATTGACTTAGGGTCTCCTTACACAGCCCACGCTGGCCTCAAACACTGTTCTTGCCTCGGCCTCTATAATCCTGGGATTAAAGTTATGAGCCACCAAGCTTGGCTTCTTTATCTTTAAGAATACAACATTTGTGCCTGGCAGTGGTGGTGTACACCTTAAATCTCAGCACTTGGGAGGCAGAGGCAGGTGGATCTCTGAGTTCAAGGCCAGCCTGACCTACAGAGCTAGTTCCAAGACAGCCAGAGCTATACAAAGAAACCCTGTCTCAAAAAACCAAAAAAGAAAAAAAAAAAACAAAAAACATCATTTGGGCTGGAGAGATGGCTCAGCGGTTAAGAGCACTAGATGCTAGGTTGAATTCTCATCACCCACATGGCCCACCTGTAACTCCAGTTCCAGGGGATCTGATGCCCTCTCCTGGCTTCCACAAGTGATGCACAGCCATACATGCAGGCAAAATACCCATATACATAAAAATAATAAGGGTATTTTTAAAAATAATACAGTATTAGGTGTTGAGATGGCTCAGAGGTCTAAGAACATTGCTGCTCTTGCAGAGAACCCGGGTTCAATTTCCAGCACCCTCATGGCAGCTTACAACCATCTGTAACAACAGTTCCAGGAGATTTGACTCCCTTTTCTGATGTCTTTGGGCACTGCATGCATTCGGTGAACTACCAAGGCAGGAAAAACAGTCATAAAACTACACATAAAAACTTAAATCTTTTAAAAAGGATACAAAACTTCATTAGATGCTGAACCTGTATCCATTAAGTGTTATGACACAGCATAGTAAATAGCAAAAGAATACATTCTCACAGACTCGAAGAGGCACCATGGAAATCATGAAGTTAGCTGAGGAAGCTGAGGATGAAGGGAAGGTGAGGCATTTGGTTAATTCAGAATTTGGTCTATTGTTGCCACGTTTTCCGTGGTTACCTCTGCTCCCTTGTGATCTACTCAAAAGGTGATCTCCCATGATTGAGATAAAGCAGCTACTCTTATAAATAAAGCATTAAATCATATGCTGTAGTTTTACATTTTTTAAGCCTCTGACACCATGATAATAACAGTTTTAATATCAGGCTGGAAGTGGTACTGTGGGCCCTTTAACACTTAGTAGGCTGGGGGAAAAGGATCTTGAGTTCCAGGGCACCCTGAACCATGTAGGGAGACTCTGTCTTAGCAAATGAAAGCATCAGACTCCTCTTGTTTTAATTGTGGCCAAGTGCAGACAGTCATGTAAAGGGATATGGTGGTGTTTGTTTATGCTCTTTTTTGCAGGGCCCGCCATTCAATTCCCAAATAAATGACATAGATGAATTCTTATTTATAAATGCCTGGCCTTAGCTTGGCTTATTTCTTGCCAGCTTTCCTCAAATTATCTCATCTACCTTTTGCTTCTGGACTTTTCCCATTCTCTTACTTCTGTAAATCTTACTCTTACTCTGTGGCTTGCTGTGTAGCTGGGTGGCTGGCTCTTGATGTCCTCTTCCTTCTCTGGCTTCTAGAGCTCTCCTCCCAGATTTCTCCCTCTATATTTTCTCTCTGCCTGCCAGCTCCACCTATCATTTCTCCTGCCTTGTTATTGGCCTGTTCTTTATTAGACCAACAGGTGTTTTACACAGGCACAGTAACACAGCTTCACAGAGTTAAACAAATGCAACATAAACAAAAGTAACACACCTTAAAATAATTTTCCCCAACATTATGGGGTGCTGGTGGTGGTCATTTAGTGTATTGCTGACTCATTCCATGGAACAGATGAAGATCACAAGGTATGAATCTTCTCAATTGAGACTTAAAGAAGGCATCTCCTTGATTTTTTTTTTTTTTTTTTTAAACCAGAACTTGGTTCCCAGGATAGTACCGGGACTGTCCTGTGTCTCATATCTAGGCCTCCCTGTTTAAGTTTTGTAGCCAGAAGTTTTCCTGTGTCCCGCCCGGTCTGCAGCCATTCAAGTAAACACATAGAGGCTTATATTAATTGAAACTGCTCAGCCATTAGCTCAGGCTAACTGCCCCAGCCAGCGGGGTGTCAACGGGGGCGACCCACCTGTGGGAGAGAATGAAAGGGACGGGGAGACGAGAGAAGACAGCAAGACAGTGTTCTCATCAAGCTGCAAATTTTCTCAGCAAGGCTTTTATATGGAGGGGGAGGGGGGCAGGAAGGAGGGAAGGGGTGCAGTACGTGCCATACATGCAGGTGAAGGGGGTCGTGCAAGTCGTGAGGGTGTTGTGCTAGGTGGTAAGGTCACTGGTCAGGGCCCATTGTTCTGTTGCTATGCTACCTGACCTGCCTGACCTGTTCTTTATCTTTGGGGGCATCTGGTTTAGGGCAGGGGCTTGTTCTCTGGCCTAGCTAGTACTTTTCCATGGTCCATGTTTGGTGCCTGACAGCTAACTCCTGACTAGCTCTTACACTTAAACTCAGTCCATTTCTGTTAATCTGTATGTCTCCACATGTTCGGTGGCTTTACCTGTGGGCCATTACATGCTGCTCCCTGGATGGTGGGCTAGCATCCTGACTCAGCCTTCCTCTTCCCAGAATTCTCCTTGTCTGCTTATCCCGCCTATACTTTTCTGCCTGGCTACTGGCTAATCAGTGTTTTATTAAACCAGTGTACAAAAACATTCCACAGCAAAGTTCCAAAATAACTTGTTGGAACTTGGATAGGTAGGTGACATGTTACCAGCTAGTTAGTTTGAAGATCATGTAGCAAGTTACTTCAATGGACAGGCTTGTACAAGACTGCTAAGGGCAACCCCAAAGAGCTAAGGATAATAACTTAAGTCCAAGAAATAGGAGTTTCTTGCATTAGCTTAGTAAGGCAATGTTTTTAGTAGCCTTATTTATTCTTTCCACTTTTCTGGAAGACTGGTGATGCTGGGCACAGTGGAGGTTAAGTTGTATCC